TAAATGGATTAGCAAAGACCAACTAGACATCATTCCTCAAGATTCATAGTCTAATCATGTTCCTTTTGTCACAACGTGCTGAGCGATTTTTTAGATTATAATATCTATCAGAGAGCAATCATTTTGCAAGGCACAAAAATTATATAGGGTAATTAGAAACAAGACTCCTAATACACAGGTGTTTCATTGTGGTTCATTCAAGCAGGCTGCTGGCCAAAGTAAACTCATTGACCATGTGGTCAGTTTATGTCAAGGGGAACAGAATTATGTCACTGTATCTTGACAAGAATTGCCAGTGTGCAAATTAACCAAGTAATGCTTCCTCAGATGCTATATATAGTTTATCTCCTGTACTGGAGGTAGCAAATATAAACGCCTTCGGGAACCAACCGACCTTAGTCAAGTGGGCCTGATGTAAAACAACAGGAAACGAGGACTGTGGGGGACTACATACCGCCTATCCTTACTAGCCCCAGCCTACTGCTGCTGTGTGAGAACGCAGGCCCGGTATTTCCAGATCTTCTCATTTTTCCAGAGAAACTGCATTCTTCCATGAAGTCTTCTGATGTATAAATGTTGGAGACTAATTCAATTTTTTTCACACTGTATGGGAAAAGAAAAAACATACAAACACACCACTAACCATGTCTGTAGGTCAGATTAGGCCAGTAGATCACCAATATACAACTTCTATTGAATACCAATGTTAATATAAGAAAATATTTGACTTGTTAGCCCATGGGTTCCAGGATAGCGTAACCAAAATTAAGTTTTAAGGAATTAGAATCAGGTGACAGCAAAGGACTACAGCATAATTCCCGAGACTAGGATGAAGATCAAAGTGTTTGCACAAATTTCCATCCTTCTTGCCTAGGATCCAGCCACAGGGCATCGCTTGTAGTTCCTGAGTAAACCACGCACTCTGTCACCTCCAGGCCTTTGCACACGCTGGTCCTGGTGCCTGGATACCCTCCATATCCTCCCCTCAGTTTTATCAATTATCTTGACTTCATGCTCCAGATCTCAGGCCACGTCTCGTCTGTTCCAGGTACCAGTTAGCAACTCCGCAACTCTACCTGCCCTTTGCAGCGCTAAGCTCTATGGTTTATCAGTCACACAGTACAGTGTTTGTCTGTTTTCTTGCATTTCTTCCTGATGAGCCCAGAAGCTACTTGAAGGCAAAAATCTCTGTTTTATTAGAGTTTGTAATCTAAATTTTTCAAACACTGTCTGGCTCATAGTTGGTGCACAGTATTTCTTAAATGAATATATGTTAAATAATAATGGAATAAAGATATATTTTATAGCCTTTCAGATAATCAATTTGAAAGGTAAAATGTTATTTCAAATAGAAAAGTTACAACATTCCTATTTTCAAGTTACACATCCTCCTGAGAATAGTTTCACATCTATTTCTTAAATTATAAGCTAAAGGCAGGTCCTTTCCCTTTCTTCCTGCCATGAAGGTAGATATGATGGCTGGATGGATGGCAGCCATTTTGTGACTGTAAGGAAAAGGCTAAGAGAATTGCAGAGATGTCAGACCTAACATCATTGAGTCATTGAAACAACTCTGCTATCCAGTAATGCCTAGACAACTTATTTAAGAAAAACACATTTTTTAAAAAAATCCTAAGCAATAGCACTTTAAAGAATGGCAGGATTTACTCAAGGAAAGAGCATTATTCTAGGAGGAAAGATCTGTTCTGGTAAAGATCAATAAAATATGTGATACCATGTATGAATTAGTAAAGTACCTTAGAGGGAAAAAACTACACATAATGAATTAAACTATTATTACTTGCTCTCGCCCCCAAACAAATGCATGTTTATTCAAAGTTAGTCACTAAATTTCAAAGGTACTTTATTCCAGGAAAAAAAGAATAGCCTTTAGGAACCAGGATATTTGTACATAAAGCAAAGAATTAGTTACATAGGACACAAAAGAATAAGGTAAAAATCTATAGAAATACTGTAACCACTTTTTTTTTGCAGTGGAATATAATGAATAAAAACATTTCCGTGGTTACTTCAGAGTCATCGACTATGGGGTTTTTATAAAATACACTTCAAATAACCTTGAAAAGTAGGAAATTTTTAATATGTGAACAACTTCATTTTATTGACTGTGTCATTCGAAGTTACATGATTTTTAACGCAAATTTCAAATGACATTTGCAAATGAAAGCTAACCTAAATGGAGTTGAATTTTCTTTGCTCTACTTAAAACAATTTCTAACGCTGTTACACTATGACTAAGGCAGTGGGGTTCAAGGACATTTAGAAAAACTCAAGTGATTGTTTTTTCTATAAAATAAATAATTTTTCTAGGCGAGTAACAAATGAGTAAAAACCATTATTCAAACAGTCTGAATGTGGGAGGACATCACCAGTGGCTCCATCATCGGCCCTGAAGTCACCTAGATCTTGAGATGCCAGGTTAGGGTCCTCAGCTGAAGTCGAAGGACGAGTCAGGATCATCCGAGGTAACTTTGAGATAATCAGAGGTTGTTGAAAAAGGAGATGTAGGGATTTCAAAAGCAAGGAGACTGAACAACAAAAAGCTGAGCCAAATGCCAGGACTCACCACAGAAGATGAGTAATCAAATAAGTATAATCACCAACAAAGATGAGACTAAAGCATGAATAAAACAAGGGGGCAAGTGTTTTAAGCAGTAGAATGGGGAAAAGGAGACAATCTCTCCAATTAGGACTAGGAAGCCAATGGAAGTGTTACACACTGCGAGTGTGTCAGCCCGACTTCGAGATTTTATTGGTGATATTGACGTGAATCATTTTGTGTATCAGAGGATAGCAAGTGCTGGATCCAAAGGATTTGCCTGAACAGTAAGAGGCCACATTACAATTCACATAGATTTTGATGAACTGAAGAGGGACTTCAAAGTACTCAGAGCCAAAACGTATTTTTCCTTTCAAAATGTACTCTTTCACAGCCACGAAAGTGAAATTACTTACAAAACGGTTTAATCAAAACCTCAAATGCTAGTTGATGAACGTGTTATTTGCAAGCATCGTTTAGTAGGCATATTCCACCAACACGAATTCCTCGTGAGTTTTGTGTTATGAAATACAGACGAGAACCAGAAGAAACCAGAGGGCAGATGCTCAAATCTTTGCCAACAAACCCCTCCAGGCTTAGCTCTTCTATGGCTGTGATACACTGCTGTGACTCGTAGTAAAGAAGAAAAATCCCCACCCACAAAGCCAGGAGAACACAAAATTGTAAGAGTACAAAGAGTGGGAACCATAAGGTCACACTGGGAATGAGGTCACCACACACCAGGATTTTGCTATCTCGTAGTAAAATGTGCACATGTGCGCTCGTGGGCCTGGATTTTTATTCATCAAGAACATGCATGACAGAGATTAGAACCATACTGGACTCTATTCTGTGCCACAAAGGAATGGACAGACAAAAACAAATCTGGATAAGATTTTGGTGAATCAGCCCCAGAAAATGGAAGCAAGTGCTTCTTATATTTTCTAACACACAATATGGCCAAATCTGCAGGGTCAAAGCTTGGAAGAGAGCTATATCAATTATGGTTTCCTTGCTCAACTATTTAGGTCCCTGGTTTTGAAAGAACATTGCAGAATTACTAATTTTCCAGACGGTAGAAGGAAATTACTAATTTTCCAGTGCGTGAAGCAATGTTAATGTTTCCATCATCAAATGCATAATATTAAACTAGAACAAGTGTCCTTACTTATTTAATCTCATTTCTAACCTCGCAAATTCAGAGCATCCTTCCTATCATTGTGGCCCACTGGAGGCTTTATCACCAAAACAAGTCATTCAGAGTCCTGATCTTTCTGAACAAGATGTAAAACTAAAAGGTCTGAGGATCACAGACCTAAATATCATGTCCAGACAATTGAGAATAAATTCTGAAGGATGGAAAGATTACCAAATGTGGATTTACTTCCAACAACTTGCCTAGAAGTAAACCCCTAGCTCTTTGAGTAACTCTCATGTTTTGTATGTAGTGGAAAGCCTAAATGGCCTTTTGTCATCATCAAAATAATTTAACTATTACTTTTTGCACATGTCACTGCATTGGATATTATCCCACGTAGGCTGTTCTCTCCTCTAAGGACGTGCTTTTCAAAGAGTGATCCAATGACCCCAGACCCCATCCACCCGCACTAGTCATTAACCAGAGAAAACATCAAAGCCCCATCCTGGACTTCTAGGTAAGAATTTTTAATGATAGAGCTCAGGAATCTATGTTTTAACAAAGCTTGAGAACCGGTGCTAGGGACATATGACCCTCTACTGCTTTAACTGTGATACCTAATTCAGACGCTGTACTAAGGTTAATATCAAAATCTTTAAGTGATATTTTAATTTTAAAACTCCTCCTTTACAGAGGGTTCACTGACTTAATTCAGATGGCTTACTTACCCAAATTTTTATTGCCATACATGCAGGCCCAAAAAAGGATAAGGTTTAACTACACATGATACAGGTGACATCACAAATCACTGGAACCAAGATGGTCTTTTCACAAATAATGCTGGACAACTGATTAGCCATTTGGAAAAAGAGAAAATTAGAACCACTCCTCACACCATACACAAGAATAAATTCCAGATGAACCAGTGAGTAGGGAAAACTCTTTTTTCCCCTCTGCGCTCTGACACTACTACCACACTCAGAACACTCCTGACACCAGATGCGTGGGCTTTTCCACACAAAGCAGTACTGATACTGACTGTCTGGAGTGGGTGCAGACCCCACAGTGAAGGGCTCAGTCCCACCAGACTGCCCCCCACTTCACACACCCATCGCAAGTAGTAAGTTCTCAGGTTACCTTCAACTTCTGTGATTGGGCTACAAATCAGGGGTTCCTGCAACTCCCTCCTCAGGTTTGATAATTTGCTAGAGCAGCTCACAGAACACAGGAAAACATTTTACTTACTATTGCTGATTTATTATAAAGGATACATATATATACCTTTTTATTTTTTTTTTGCAGGGAAAGATTTGCCCTGAGCTAACATCTGTTGCCAGTCTTCCTCCCGAAAGCCCCAGCACATGGCTGTCTATCTGGTTGTAAGTCCTTCTAGTTCCTCTATGTGAGCTGCCACGACAGCATGGCAACTGACAGATGAGTGGTGTGGTTCCCTGACCAGGAAACAAACTGGGGTCACCAAAGCAGTGAGAGTGCCGAACCTTAACCACTAGGCCATCAGGGCTGGCCCTATAAAGGATGTTTTAAAGGATACAGATGAATAGCCAGACGAAGAGATCCACAGGACAAGGTCCAGAAGAGTCCCAAGCACAGGAGGTCTTGGGGAGTTGGGGAGTTTGGGGTTTGGGTGGAGTTGGGGTTTGCCACCCTCCCAGGATGTGGATGCATTCACCAACCCAGCAGCTCTCCAACCCCATACTATAGGGATTTTCATGCAGGCTTCTTGTGTAGGCATGATAGTTTATTAACTCAGTCTCTAGCCCTCCTCCCCTCTCTGGAGGATGGAGGTTGGGACAGAAAGTTCCAAGCTTCTAGTCATGGCTTGGTCTTTCTAGTGACCAGCCCCGCCCAGGAGCCCACCAAGAGTCACCTCACCAGAACAAAAGATGTTCCTATCCTAGGAAATCCCAAGGGATTTAGGAGCTCCATGTCAGGAACCAGAATCAAAGACCAAACATTAGTGGGAACCAAATATACATATATATATTTCTTATTATTTCACAGAGATCTAAATGTAAAAAATAAAGCTATACAAGTAACAGATGGGTGGCTTCCTCCAGAACCTGGGTGTAGGAAAAGGCATTCTAATTGTGACTAAAAATCCAGAAGCAATTGAAAAGAAGAGTGACAAATTTAACTAAATAAAAATTTAAAATTTTACAAGGCCAAAAGTAAATAAATAAATAAACTCAAATAACAAAGTACAAATTGGAGAAAATATTTGCAACATATATCACAAATAAAAGGCCACTACCCCTAAAACTAAAAAGAAGTTTTTAAAATTTGAGGGGAAAACATACCAAAAACCCTATAGAAAAATAGGAAAAAAATACGTGCAAGCAACTTACAAAAAGAGATCAAAATTCTTCTTAAGAATATGAAAAGATGTTCAACTTCATTCGTAAGAACAGAAAACACACCCTGAAACCACAAGATCCTACCTCTCACCCATCAGATTGGGAAAAATTCAAAAGCTTCGCAACACAGTTGTTGCTGAGGCTGTGACGAAACGGGCACTTTCATATGTGGTTGTTGGGAATGTAAAACGATGTAAACATCGCCGAAGGGAATTTGGCAATATCTAACAAAATTACACGTGCATTTCTCCTTGAACCCACATCTAGGAGGCTATCCTGAACATACCCCTTAAGCAATATGAAAATATGTATGCACAAGTTTATTCATTGCAGCGTTGTTATTACAAAATATTGGAAACTGCCTAAATGTCCAAGCAAAGGAGATTGTTGAACAAACTCTGGTACAAGCACACAACGAATACTATCTCGTGAAAAAGAATGAGGATGCGCCCTATGAACGGATGGGGAGTGAGGTGCAAGAGACCTCGTAAAGCGAAAAGTCAAAGCACAAAAGATTATACCCAGTGCCTGTGTTTAAGAAAGAAGAGGAAACAAGAAAACATACATGTGTCTGCTTATCTTTACAAAAAAGGTCACAGGAAAGAAAAAACAGAAACGACTAAGTTGGTTCCCTACAGGGGGTGACGGAGAGGAGGGCGCACAGGGCAGTGGAGGAGGGACATTCTCTGAGTAAACCTTCTCTAAAGTTTTGACTTTTGGAAGTATGTTAATGTTTGTCATTCAAAAGATGTAAATCAAGAAGGATGGGAAGAGGGAAAAACGAAAATGGAAAGAAACCAAAAAAATGAACCCAACTGTATTTCAAATGAATACCATAACCACAGTGCAGGGCAAAAAATGTCCCAAACTAACGTAAGGAACTTATACACACAGTTTTGACTACATGCCCTGTACGACCTCAGTCTTGGGCAGGGTAGGGAGATAGGAAAAGGGGAAACTGGAGAGCCTGAATCTTTTCATTAGGTTTGGTTTTCGTAGTAGATATGGGTGAAGGTTTTCTGAAACTATTTTAGATGTATTATAGGATTGAGCAAGTGAGAAAATATGTTGATGTCTTGGAAGCCAGGATTCTCACTGTGAAAGAAAGCACATGAAAATATGGAGTGGAGGAGGGCAAGAAATCAGAGATATTGGTGTAGACTCATGATATCCAAAATGTGCACATGCATGTGTGTGTGCACGTTTACATGATTCTATCATGTGTGTATGTGCATGTGTACCTACATATGTGTATTATGTGCATGCATATATTTCCCGGCTCTGTCCACTAAAAAGGCCTAGAAGCAGAGGCATTCTAGGAGCAATGAGCACAGCTAGTGCTCAGATCTTCATCTCTAATCCCATTCCCACTAAAAGGAACCAGGGGTCCTTGGAGACGTGGCTGAAAGCAGGATTAGGGAAAGGGAATTACAAGATGAGCACGGAACATTTTGTTACACCAGATGATGAGGATGTGCTCAGACAATAATGGAGGGTGACACAGGCACAAGTAGCCACCTTGAAGGGACTCCAATCAGCCAAGTCTGGGACAATCAGAGCTCCAAACTAAATAAGGACTAATTAGAGACCATTTGGGGTCGGATGGGGCGGGGAAACAGGAAGCCTTGCGACCACACAGATAACTCGTACGTACATCCACACATGAGGGAGAAGGGAGGGTTCTTGGTTCCTGGAAGGTCACACGCTGACTGGGGAATGTGGAGGGAGTGCTGACCTGGGTCCTCATCATTGTGTACCCATCATCTTAAAAGCTGGTTCAGGCAAGAATGCTTGATGGATGCTAAATCCAAGGGGAAATTTTAATAAGGAGCAGGGTATCTGCATGGTCTTAGAGTATCTCTCTACATACTGCTTATTAGTTGCAATCAAGAAAACAATAACTAAAGAGCGGAGAAACAGGTCATCGCTTCACTTTGTGATGAAAACTCATGAGGGGCAGATGGACATCATGTGTCTCCAGATGTGACCGTCTGAGAAGCACAGTGTCATGTATGTGGTGGTCCAGTCAGGAACATGAAACCTAAGTCTAATCATGAAAAAGCGTCAGACAAACTCAAAATAGGGAGACATCTGTTTTTAAAAGGGGAGAGGACTCTATCTTCAAAAATATCAATGTCATAAAAAGACAAACGCTGTGGAAATGTTTCAGAGATTAAAGAAACATAGCAACTTAATGCAATATCTGCCCCTGGACTGAATCCTGTATTGGAAGAAAAAGAAGCTATCAGAAACATTAGCGGGGCAGCGGGAAAATTAAAATACAAATGAGATAAAAATATTAATGCTATATTACCAAAGTTGACAACTGCCCTGTGATTACGTAAGAGAATATTCCTAGCCATAAAAAGCACTAAGTACGGAGGGATAAACGGCCATGATGTGTGAAACTTATTCTCAAATGCTTTGGTAAAACAAAACATTATGTGTGTATAGACATTATTACACATAAATGCACATCTATATATGCATATATGTACATATATATTATACATATATGTATATACGCATGTATACACATTATGTGTGGATATATGCATATATGGAGAGAGAGAGGAGAGAATACACAAACGACCGAGCGAATTGCATAAAATGTTAACAATAGATGAAGCTAGGGAAAGGGTTAATTGTCATTCTTTGTACTATTTTTATTCAAGTAACTTTTCTGTAAGCTTGAAATTCTTTCCAAACAAGTAAAAAAATAAATACATATAGGCCTTCAAGAAATGTTTGATGCCTTACCAGTGAATGTCACGATACGGGAAGGATAAAGGAGAAAATCAGAGCATGGTAAAATAAACAAGTACGTATTAAAAGCATTGATCTCTCAGTAGGCTCGCCTAGAGGTGGATAAAATGAACAGAAGGGAAAGAGATTTGAATGTTCACTTAGATTAGAAGATAAAGGTCAGACTAGCAGAGGTAACAAGATCCAAGTTAATGAAATGAGCCACCCCACTGACCAGGAGGGAAGGAAAGAGAAAGCGCCTGTGCTTCTGAAAGCGCCTGTGCTTCTGGAAGCGCCTGTGCTTCTGAAGAGTTCGGAACTCTTCATCCAAACTGCAGAGGGCCCAGCTCTCCAGTAACTAGTCATCTTTCCAAAGCTTTCACATCCACAAGTTCACAAGTTTTGCTCTTACATTTCAAATAGTTGACAAGGAAGACCCAGGATAATGTCACTCTTTTGGGCCCTCAGGTGACATTCTCTTTATGTCAATGTTTTACTGCTGTGACAAGAGTCACAAATAGCTGATAAACACCTTCTAAAGGAGATCGCACACACAGAGGACTGAGGTCTCTTTTCAGCTTCTTTATGACTCCTCTGGACACTAGGGTGATGGATCTAAGAAAAAACTTGAGAGACTTAATTGAAGTTTTAGGACAAATTGAGAACATCTTTGAGGGGAATTTTAAACTTCTGAGCATTGATACTCAAAGCATAAACAAATGAAAAATAATGAGAAGAAAAGCTTCCCCACACTGCCCTGGATATCCCCAGGCGAGCCACTCAACATTTTCCTGCAATTTGGTAATTGCTAAAATTCTTGTCCTTTCTCTTTCTGCCCCACTATGTTTTAAAGAGGATAACGCGGAACGATAACATTTATTTTAACTAAAATACTGGCAGTTGAAATGTGGACTAAGTCCAATTAAGACTCTAAAAAGTGCCCCTAGCACTTAAAGTGAGCATGATAGGAAGTCTTTCCAGCAGATAAAAGAACAGAGGGAACATTCACACAAACGGGCAACCACGACCCAGAAACGATAGGATGCAACAAAGGAACCAGCAGCAGAGAGGACACCATGGCAGAGGAGAGAGAGACAACATGGGGTACATAGCTGAACCCCTTTAGAGCTCAGAGAGTGAAAGGAGAAAGGAAAGAAAGAATTTGCTCTACACAGGCCAGCTGGGACTCAAAGTTCTCTGATTTAATGGTACGGACCTAGCAAAGGAGTCCAGCCAAGGCACGGTGGGAGCCACTAATTTTAAAGCCTGTGTGTTTTGTTTAGGAGATGCTGTGAGAACCTCACGCCCAACAAAGGAAACATTTGCATTGCCACTTTAACTACACCTAAAGCAACACCACTTGGTTTAAACATGTAATTCCCATTTGGGGGTTGAACATACTGGAAATGTATCCGATTTTAAAATGTTGGCTCTCAGACTATTCCGTCAGAGGCCTCGTGAGAAAATATTTTTGCATGTTTGAAATCTTCACTGAGAAAACAGACATTTTCATTTTGTAAGAAGTTTGTAACTTTTTTTGTTTTTATTTATCAGTTGAAATTAAAGAGAACCATATCAGAGCAAGCAAAATAGCTTTAACAACTTACTGAGTAAAACCTACACTACCTTTTCCTGACAGAACAATATCCACATATGATTACGAAAATTGCTTAAACCCAGAAATGTAAACCAACTCTTCCTGGTCGTCTGTTTTCTTTTCTTTTTTCTTAAGCGTCTACTCTCCCTAAATTTTCTAGGATTCGCATATTTGGTTTTTCATCATCTGCAATACTGAAAAATGGCTCATGTTGCAATCTTTCTTAATATAACTTGCTTTCTTCTAGGAGATGGTTCTAATAAGAATGCTTCCTGAACTATGGATAAGAACAAGATGCTATCTTAGCCCTAATAGACGCACAAAATCCCGCCTCTGTGTGATCCAGGCTATCACCCTTCAGTGTCATATTAAAAACAGTTCTAAATCTGACTTGGGCTGATTTGTTGCTTTATATCTCTGTTCCTTTCAAATTTAAATTTTTCAAGTTTCGTGTAACCCAATTTGTTGCATACGTATATTACTTTTTAGATTACTTCTAGCATGTGATAGACCGAAAACTAAATTTAGCAATACCATGAATCAGTTGCTCATTACGTCTGCTCATCACCTGGGCAGCAGCTTCAAGGTGAGTCACTTATTCCTTCAGATTTTTTCTTTTGCTGACCCAATCCATTAGATTCCAAACTACCAGGTTAGATAATTGAAGGGTCAAGTACAGATCCAGCAATCTCTGGAAACAAAGTTGCTAGGGCCATTGAGATGAACCTGGTGCCCCAGAGATATCCTCCCCTCTCAACTCCTCCTTCTTCTGCTCACCTCCCCCTCACCCAGCCCCTGTCACAGGAAATCGCAAGGTGGGAACCTTCATCCTGCTCCCAAGAAGAGCAGGGCAATGCTTTGGTACTTTGAGACTAGCTAGGAAGGTGAATGGAGTCTCAAAGTGCGACTAGAAACAGGTGAAAACATTTAGGACAACTCATTAAAAAAGAATTGAGTGTGGTTTTTTGAGAAATCTCCATACTGTTTTCCATTCCATATGGTCCAGCTATTCCAATTCTGGGCATTTATCCAAAGAACATGAAAACACTAATTCAAAAAGATATATACACCCCTATGTTCATTGCAGCAATATTCACAATAGCTAAGACTTGGAAGCAACCTAAGTGCCCATGAAGGGATGAGTAGATAAAGAAGAGGTGGTATATATACATATACAGTGGAATACTACTCAGCCATAAAAAAAAGACAAAATCATGCCATTTGCGACACATGAATGGACCTTGAGGGTATTATGCTAAGCAAAATAAGTCAGAAGAAAGACAATTACCATATGAATTCACTCATATGCGGAAGATAAACACACACATAGATAAGGAGAATAGATTGGTAGTTACGAGGGGAAGCAGTGTGGGGAGGGCAAAAGGGGTAAAGGGGCACATACATACAGTGATGGATGGAGGCTAGACTTCCGGTGGTGAACACGATGCAGTCTATACAGAAGCCAAAATAGAATGAAGGACACCTGAATCTTACGTGTTATAAATCAATGGGACCTCAATGTAAAAAAAAAACTGGGCATAAAAACATTCAGAGTGTGATTTTTGGTGTCTTGTAAGTCAAGAATTCAAGAACATTCTTCTCCCATTGTAAAAAGTGGTTAAGTGGGCTATGTTCAAAGTCAATTTATAATAACTGACTGTTTTGATAATATTAAGACTAGATAACTATTCTTTTTTCTTTTCTGAGACTTTGTAAAGGTTGTCCTTTCCTTTCTTATGTAAATATTATTGAAAAGTTAAATTATCACAAAAGGTTTTTAGGCATTTACTTTATGGGGCCATAAAGTTTTCCAAGCCAAAGAGATAGGTTGGTTGTTGTGGGCTGGGTTTCCCAAAAACAGATCTAAGCTGGATTTGGGATCAACACCTGTGAAATACAGGAGATGAAGCTGGATTGGGCAAAGAAAAAAGAACTTCAAAGAAGGCCCAACAAGACTTGACCAAGCGAGCTGGGAGCCCTGGTGAGCACGGCCTGTCAGAGGTGGCACGTATTGGGTGCAAATGGCTGGCTAGGATTCATTCCCTTCCCCACCTCAGTCCCTGGAGGTCGGCTGCTTGGTCAGAGGGGACAGAGGGCAAAGCAGCTGACTACAGCTGAGGCAGACACAGAAGGATATGACAACTATGGGCTGTCTACTCATCACACTCCCCACAGCTTGCCAGCAAGCTCTGCCTTGAAGAAAGATCCAGGCAATGCACCTCCATGTCTACCAAGCTGGCAAGAACTGGCTACATTAGGATACTACCTAGTTGTGCCTGTCAAATGCACCTTCATCCTCTGTTTTATAGAAACATGCCATTTAACAAAAAATATTTAAACAAGAAATATTTAACATTCATAAACCACTTTTACAAACACAGAGAAAGTGATTCTTAGGGAGGCCTGCCTTGAGCTTGTCCCCATGTTTGTTAAGCCTACTTTCATCAGCCAAGGTCAGCAAGCATTCTCCTTTGGAAAAACTACCCTTAGCATCTGTTTCTAGGCCTAGAGCTCTGCAGCTCGCTCCGGTATGGTGAACCCCATAGCCAATGGCAGGGACTGGCTGGAAGAGGGTCCTTCATTGTCACACACCCTCATGAGTGAGAACAAGTGAAGCAGAGTGATTCCTGGCTTGCTAGTCAGTCCCGAACCACAGACGACAGGGTAAGTGCTTTCCAGTTGATGATGTAAACGAACTCCACAGGTCGCACTGAGACAGCGCTGCTGCGGCTGCCTGAGGGGAAGCCATGACTCTGTCTGACATGCATAAGAGCCCCTCCTCGATCAAGCAGCCCTAGAATGTTCTTTCCTTCTCTGGCATAATCGTCTTCATCATTCAGCTACGGGCAGGGACTTTGCTGCGTTGCTATGGGGATTGCACTGACGATAATCACCTGTGAACAGGCGTAGGCAGTGACAGCCCTGCTCAGTTTGATGTTGCTGCTGCCCCCTCAATCTGAAGGCGGCAACACTGAGAACAGAGCATGGACTCTAGAGAATCCCCAAGGTCAACAGCCTGGCCACCAGCTCTAGATTCAAATAACAGCTTGTCATTCCGGCTTATCGAAGCTCCAACTACGGTGGCTCTTGATTTTAGTGCCAACTCAGATCCTCTTCCCTACAGCTATGAGTCTTTGAAAAAATCTCTCTAGATCTCTGTTTTCTCATCTGAAAATGGGGTGAGAGGGTGTGTGGTTGGTACAGAACGTGTCTAACTCCACAATTCCAGGAGCTAGGCCACTGCTGCACATATCCAAAAGGCCAGTCTATTAGAGCGCTGTTGCCTACCATGAATCAATCACCCTGCAAGTGAAAATAAAATTTAGATCACCTATTAAATGATGCTCAGATGCCCAGACAATAACGAGGTTATGCCTCAATTCAATAGCTGTGTTTTTAACAAGAGAACAATCAGTGTACCGCTTTGGCTGTGCGGTGGTACAGGGTTGAGATTATTTACTTTCTCTTTAAACCAACCCAGAGTTTGCTTAAAACAAACAAGAACCTAACTTTCGTTCTTCAAAAGTTCGTTCAAAAAGAACAAACTGTCAAAGAAAAACCACAATGAAATCGTTCGCAGCTCTTCTACTGGGAGAGACTGACCCCTGCTGGGCTCCTTCTCCTAGGCAGCCACACCTCCTTCGGAAAGAAAGAGCATATTTTTGCAAGATTCTAATACTACCTATGCAAATATGTCTGACCTAGAATTGCAGAGTTGTTTGGAAAGGAATGCATGAGGGCATTTATGCAGGAGAGGTACTGTGAGAAAGACACAAGGACATTTCAGTTATACATTTGGGGATTAGGATTAAGGAAATAATGTGTGAATAAGTAAATTTCAAACAGACACACACAAAGAGAATGACCCAAAAATTCTTAAAGGAAACTGTTCTAAATTTCCCTCATCAGTCTTAAGACTCTTTAATCTCTTAGTGACAATTATGCATATGAAAAATCAAAATAGATGAAAAAGAAAATGAAAGAGAAACAAAAAAGGGAAATAGAGGGAGAAGGAGATGAAGACAGGTTGCTGGCAGTAAATATTAAAAAAGAGGCAGATGCTGGCCCTGAGAGACAAATTCTGAAGTGGACACAGAGAAATCTTGAGTTAGGAAGCAAGAGGGAGGATCACTCACTTTCCCCAAACGAAAACTGCCCGATAGAGAAAAATGAGCCAAGAGTGGTGAAGCTGTTTGTTGACTGACATTTCTCATTTAGCTGGTTGGTCTCTTAAGCTGCCAGTTTTATCTTTGTGACACCTTGTGGCAAGAGGGACTGTGTGCTGTCCTGCAGTCCCTCTACAGGACAGCTCAATGTTCTCCGTTGTGAAGAACACATTTCCAAGGCAACACTAAGTCAAGAGTTTCATTTAAAGGGGCGCTTCTTAAGATGTCACTGACCACTTCATCTTCCTATAGTCAATTTCCTACACTAGGGTAATTAGTTCTGCTGGGAGGGAAGATACAAATACAGCCAAGGCATGTATACTGGGACCAGGTGATTCCACTCAAATCAACTCTGGGGCAGCAAGAGATTAACGGCAACATATTCAGCAGAAATAAAAAATAAACTAGAATTAATCTGAATATGCTTAATGATATAAGAAAATATACCTCCTGTGCTATAATTTTTCTTGTCCTTTGTTTGGGGTAGAAGTCAGAAGGCCATGTTCTCCTCCTAGCTCTGCTGCTTATTAGAAGTCACCTAACCTCTCTGAGACACTGTTTCTTTATCCACAAAACGGGGACAGCAACAACCTACTCCGTCTACCTTGAAGGACTACGAAGAGCAAATGAAATAATGTCTGTGAAAACTCTATAAACTTTTCTGAGCTATACTAAAAAAGAAGTGGAATCAAAAAAATTTTCTCTGGACAAGTGAGGAGTGAACAGCCTTGGAGAAGAGAAAGATGCTGAAAAAGGGCCATCTGCATGCAGAGAAAGCATTCCAGAAGGAACCCAGTCCTGCCGAGCATTGGGTGAAAGCTCTCAGAAGCCATGGTAACGAGGCCTAGACACATTATTAGCAAATGGAAAGATTAGAGACACTCAAGTTCCCTCTCTGGCTAGCAATGTTGATTTAAATAAATGTTCTATCCATTCCTCATTTGAACAAGCTGTTCTCAGGTTGTTTTCAAATTGCCATGGAAGAAAAATTGAATGTACCCTTCCACTCAGTCTAATTGTGAATTAGAAGTGGCTTTATAGGAGCTGCCAGAGATCAACCAAATGAAGCCACTCCAAAGGGTAGGTTCCAACCTTGGTCTTACATGTCTCCGTAACCATCCCATGGTTTTGTGTACATGGGAATCAGGCCACAGAACAGGGATCCCGGACAGAGACACGTTTTTCCCAGGTCCTG